TTGTGGGAAGTAGTTTGTTGAATAGTTGTTGACTATGTGGAATAAGAGGAGCATGTTAAGAGCATGTTCTTTTCTAACTACCGTGCTGAGAAGTTTATGGTACAAAATTCCTTTTTTAAAAAAAGAACTCTTATGAAGTTGCTGTGGTTTAAATATGGTCTATCCCCTCAAAAACACAGGTTGGATTTTTTTGTTATTGTGTTGGAAGGGGGGTCTCTCAATATACGATTAGCTGGTTATGACAGATCAGCCTGGTGTGGTGACTTACCCCTGTAATCTCAGCTGTTAAGAGGCTGCTTCTCCCAAGCAAGAAGTTCATGGTTCCCCATCTCAACCAGTAAAAAGCTGGGTGCATACCTGCTGCTCCTGATACATAGGAAACAACACAGGAGGATCATGTCCCAGGATAGACCAGGAGCAAAACCAGACTCTGTTCAAAAAACATCAAAAGCAAAAAGGGTCAAAGCCATATCTCAAGTAGCAGAGTCCCTGACAAACACACAAGGTCTTAAATTCAAACCCCAAGTGCTAATAGTGGTTGGGGTGGGGGACAGACGCCTTTCTCGCCAATGTTTGAGGTCTTGCTCTCCCAGAACTGAATTAGTTACTCTGAAAGCAGATTGTTAGACTAATAACGCACATCTATTTGCCCTCTCGCTTTCTACTGTGTTTTATTGCCATTGACAACACAGTGGTGGCTTTGACTCTGGGGTCTATAGAACCGTGAGCCATAGGAAACTTGTTTCTTTTATGAACTACCCAATTGCTGGCACTTCTGTTACAGCAACAAAAATTGGTCTAAGAGAGATGTGTTTATACCGCTAGCCCCATTTTACATGTAAAGAAACAAAAAAAAATTATAGAAAATGGGGAAGTAGCAGTGCCAGGATTCAAACACATGCGTGTTAGCCTCGATCTTATAGTGATCACTCTGGTGACCTGCCTTAGTTTTCCATTATTTAAAATAGAGATTGGCAAATCATTTCTGCAAAGAGACAAGGAATAAATACTTCAGGCTTTATGGGCCATAGCTTATTTGGTCCTCATTACAATGTAAAGGCAGCCAGCCATAATGGATTGTATTTTCACTTTCCTATAAACCTTTCTTTACAATAACAAGGGAGCCATATTGAACTGATGGGCCAGAGCTTGCCAACCTTTAGAGTAGAAGAATCTACATATTTTGGTGCAACACTTAATAGTTCTTTGCCTATTTCTGAGCACTCCTAAATGATGATGGTAGTCATCAGATCCGCGCTGGTTCATACATGGCCAGTAGGTCTCTACACAAAGAATACCATGCAGAAGTGTGTTTCCATACCTGGATAATTCATCTATGATAGAGACAATTTTGTTGTTGGTGGTCATGGAGCTTGAACTCTGAGCCTGGGCACTGTCTCTGAGCTCTTCAGCTCAAGGTTAGTGCTCTCCCACTTGAGCCACAGCTCCACTTCCAGGTTTTGGTGGTTAATTGGAGATAAGAGTCTCATGGACTTTCCTACCTGGGCTGGCTTTGAACCACTATCCTCAGATCTCAGCCTCCTGAGTAGCTAGGATGACAGGTGTGGGTCACCAACACCCAGCATATAGACATAGTTTTTATAAAGTTGGTTCCATTGCCATTCTCAGGAGTTAGTCTCAATCTCCCATTCCAAAAAGTTCTTCCCTAACAAAATTTGACTGTATGGATAAAAATTCAAATGAGGAGAGCTAGCCAGCATGATGGAAGGGACTAGGAAATGTAAAGTCCTCCAATGGGCCACTTCTCTTCAACCAGTGGTGTTGATGTGGGCTCTAGGGGCTCAATGTTGTCACATCATATCCAAAAAAAAAAAAAAAAACCTTGAGAGCCTGGGAAGGTGGCTCAGTGGTAGAGCGCTTGCCTCACATGCATGAGGCCCTGGGTTCAATGCCTCAGCACCACATAAATAGAAAACGCCAGAAGTGGTACTGAAGCTCAAGTGGTCACACACTAGTGTGTGTGACAAAAACCTTAAAAATCTTTTGAACATCTGCAGGAAAGTGTGTGTGCAGAGTGTTGTGTGAGAGTGCTAGTGAGCTGCCAATAACCACACTGCTGTGTATAAGTGTGTAGCACAGGCAGCTATGGCCCAAGTGTAACCACAAAGAAGTTTGTATTCTTAATAGTGTCCCAAGGCAACTGTCACCTTTAAATAAGGAACCCAATTGGAAATTCATTTATAAATATTTGGCCCATTTTTGAAAAAAAAATATGTTAGTAGCCTGCATTGTTCATGAGGCCCTTGGCACATTAGAAGATAATGTCAGCATAAGGTATTGGATGTAAACACATCTTGATACTAGACACCAATCAGGGTCAAGCCTGACCTATCTCCAGGACACCCAGAACCCAGAAAGAATTATATGTTGCTTTGAAAGTCTTCAGAGTTTTCCTTTATGATGACTCCTCCTTGTGTTATTTCCAATAACACCTAGATGGGCGCATTGAGGGAAAGTTTAAATGTACTACATTTTAACTTCTTCTCTATGAAATCTCTCTGTGAAATCTGTTACAAAATGCTGAAATTACCCATTGTAACAACGAGATGTACAAGACACTATGTTAAAAATGAACTTTACAATTTTTCGGGGGGGCTGGGTGGGGGGAAGGAAAAGGATGGTAGGAGAAAAACAAAGAAGGGGGTAACAATGCTAGATAGGAAATGCACTCATTACCTTGCTCATGTAACTGTAACCCCTCTGTACAGTATCTTTACAATAATATATATGTATTGAAAAAAGAATAAGCAACACAAAATTAAAAAAAAAAAGAAATCTAACTGTTCCTAAGGATGTCTCCGAGAGTGAGAGAGTGGATCTGTTTGTATGAAATAGAGAAGGTTGTCATTAAGTTAGGGTTGTCTTGAGAAAGCTCATTAAATGTTTATCGGAGTTAAATGTGTAAACATCCACTGTTTTTCCTTCCATATGAAGGTATCTATAGTTTTGAAGAGCACTCTGGACATGAAGAAGAACTATAAAATCTGTGCAATGACTGGTACAGTTAGAGAGACCCAGGCTACATCTACACTACTGGGGGAGCAGTTGTGTGGTTTAAGATATAAAGAATCGAGTATGTCCCGAACGTCGCAGCCAGAGAGAGCCTAACGCGACTCATATCCTCACAACCCTCTTGGCATCTTTATTTCAAATTCTGCAAAAGTACAGGAGAGGAATAGGAATGATCACATTAAAATGCTTCTCAAAGAAAGCCCCATTTCAGGAGTCCCTTTTGACTAGGTAAAATAGTATGCTTTGAAGCAATATTGGGTGAAATGGCAGCTTGGAAACCTGCCATTTTCCCAAATGGAGCATTTATTCCCTGCAAGTCGTTTACTCCCTAAAAATGTTCCTCAAGGTGAAGTCTTTGTTGCTTGATTATATTTCATGTACAAGATCTGATGTGCAAGCCAGACACTAAGGCATTGTTTCATGTACTACAATAGCTCCTTATATTTTTTTAAGTCTCTGACAGTGGAAAAAAAACAAACCTTACCCAAAAGTAGCTGAATATATCCCTAACACATCAAGAATGTGATTAACCTAACAGATCTTCACTAGATTTTTTTAAATGCTCAATGTTACACAGGTTGGGAAGAGAAACAAAACCAGTAACCCAAACATAAGTACCAATTTTGTCATATAGTTATATTCCCCAAACATAAGTGTTACTTCACAAATGACTTGTTTTCTTTATATATTTATAAATCTTCAAGCATAGGATGTTTAGCACCAAATCTTAAGATAATATGCCATCGACAGAATAATTTTTTAACTTATACTATTGTAACAATTCTGGTAGGCATTCAGCAAGTCAAATAGAAAACTTCGGGGAACAGGTGGACCATGATCCTTTTTCTATTCCTTCTGGAAAAATCAAATCAAATCACTGTTACCATTATAAACAATATTATAATATTGATTTCTTCCTTAATAATTGTAAAAGGACTAATATTAGTAATAAAGGAACAGTTTTTGAAAAAAAAGAAACAGTTTTTGGTTGTGTGTGTATAAATATGTTTCTGCCTGTCTGTCTGTCTGTGTTAGTCTATATGTCTGTATGTGCCAATCTGGAGGCTTAAACTCAAGGCCGAGGCACTGTCTCTGACCTTTTGTGCTCAAAAGGTGCTCTACCACCTGAACCATAGCTCCACTGCCAGATGTTTTTTGGTGGTTAATTGGAAATAAAAGTCTCATGGAGTTTCCTGTTCCTGCTGGCTTTGAATCACAATTCTTAGATCTCAACCTTGTAACCTTGTAATCTCAGGATTACAAGCATGAGCTACCAGCACCTGGCATTTTTTGGCATTTTTGAACATTCGTTTATACTGACATGTATATTAACATGCATGACAAAAGCCATGAAATCATTGAACCAAAGTCAGGGGAGGTGACTGCAGGTTTACTTACATTGAAGGAAGTCAGGGAAGTGTCAAGTGAGGAGGGAAAGAACTAAGTCAAGATGAAAGCAATGATCATGTACAAATTCTGCATTTAAAGACTTCTCCTGAGTAGGAGCTAACAAATCATTTTCTTAGAACTGGTAATAAGCTAGTTATAAGAATCACCCTTTATCTAAAGAGAGACTATTTTATATGTTTAATGGTTTACCAACGTGACTTACATAAACCATAAAAAACCCAACATGTTTTATTTCCTTAGTGTGTGTGTCACAATAGAGCTTTGGTTATGAAACACTGGAGCCAATTTGCTTCCTTGGAACTCAAGAGCATTGGGCATGGCGGGGGGAGTAGCCTCTTTTTAATTTCTGCTAACCTGTCAATGAAACTTCAGTAAACTTTTTTTTTAATTCTCAAAAGTAAAAGTACAAATGTGCACCAAGGAACCCCAGTGAAACCTTCTGTTCTTCGTGGTTCATAAAATAAATATTCTTCGCTGCTTCCCTGGGGTTTAGTACTCAACCTCTGTAATTATGTTTTCCAGAAGCTTTTGTTATTTAGACCTCCTTAAAACCACTTTAATACAATGGCTAAAACAAAAGCTGAAAGAAGAACCATATGAAACATATGTCCCTGTCCCTTGATAAAGGCAGAAAAAGAAACTGAAGACTGAAATGTTCCTCGTGTTCAGTTTTGACATCTCTGCTTCCCTGGGGATTTCTTAGAGGTATTTCCTTCGGAATCCAGATAAAACTTGAACCATGTGGCAGCTAGTGGTTGTATTTCACTGTGATCAACTCATGAAGCAAAGAGGGCAGCTGGGCGGATGCCACTTCTCATGGTGCACAAACTACAAACGTGAATTTGCTGAAAGCCAAGACAATTTCCTGCCTGGATGGCGTTCCACACCAGACAGGTCTGTATCCCAACGCCTCTCGAGGATAAAGCACGTCTCTCTCTGTCTCTTTCTCTCTCTCTGCTACCGTGTCACCTAAAAAAAACAAAAACTAAGTGAGTGAGTATAGAATACATTAACCCCAACAAAAAAAAACCCTTTCTGCCATGAGAACCAAATAGTCCTTATCTGTGTCATTTGTATGTAGTTTATCAGTAACCATCTACAGCAAATTGACTCTTCATGATTTGCTGACTGCTCTTGATTTGTGTGTTGGTCCTGCAGCTTGAACTCAGGACATTGTCCCTGAGCTTCTTTTCTTCCAGGCTAGCACTCTACCACTTTCAGCCACTGCTCCACTTTCTGGCCCTTTTTGGGGGGTGGGGGCATTGAGGATGCTTTATTAGAGTAATGGTATAAAGGCAGAGTTGAGTACTCACTGCAATGACTTTCGGTCCACAGAGCTAATAAGATGACTCAATTTCATCTTTACAGAGAAGCCATTTCAGCTTCTGCCCAAGAGCAGACACATGACCATGCTATAAAATAATTCAATCTGTTTTTAATTTTTGTGTATGTGCTGGTACCAGGGCTGGAACTCAAGGCCTGGACACTGTCTCTTAGTAGTTGATGTTGTTTCTCAAGGCTGGTTCTCTATCAATTGAGCCATAGCTCCACTTTTGACTTTTTGCTCATTATTTGGAGATAAAAGTCTCATGGATTTTTCCCCACCTAAGCTGACTTCAGAAGGCAATTCTCAGATCTCAGCCTTCTGAGTAGCAAAGATTATAGGTGTGAGACACTGGTGCCCAGCAATTTTGAAAATATTTTCATAGATGTATTGTAACATTATGCTATTTCTTGTTGCTTGAGCTACTGTATTAACTAACCTGAGAACTTTTCTCATCTCCTACCATAAGCCTACTACATCTTTAAAGCTGCAAAATGCCACCCGTCTCCATGGAGTTCCACTCCATACAATAGACTTTCTAAAGTAACTTTCACTTTTAAAAGTGGGTTAAATGCATTAGAAAGGTACATTTTGATCACGACGTACAATGATTTTAATCAGTATTCCTTCGGAAAACTCCGCAGTGCTATTAACAAAGTGTGCTCAGCATGAATCAATGAACATACGTAATCTTGTGGGATTTCTATAACCTCACCAAATACAAAGCCAGGTTCCTAATTCTCCACTCTGAGAGCCTTTGGGCATGTTTTCCTTTGCAATCCAAAAACAAGAAAGAGGTAAGAGTCTCACAGACTTTCCTAACTGGTCTGGCTTCGAGCTACAGTCCTCAACTCTCAGCCTCCTGCGTATCTAAGATTACAGGCATGAGCCTCTAGTGTTCTGCACTGACTGCTATTTCTGAGGAAGGGGGTAAGGACAGATAAATGAATATGTGAGAAGATAATATGAGGATGTAAATTAAATGAACAAACAAGGCCAACAGAAAGATCAATGGCCTGAGCATCTAGTGGTAAGGTTGAAGTGGACACATTGTATCTCCTTGCTTAGATGTCATGGGTACAAACCAGAGATGAAAGCATCTGTCTGCTTTGGCTGGAGCGAAGGAAATACACGAATTGAATTGCATGGCTCAGTGCCTGTGGTATAGAGAGCACCCAGGAAATGGTAGTTATTTCATGTTCGCTGCTTCTGGCTGGATCGTGCATCTGTATACATCCTAAAAGCATTTACAGCCAGGTATCAATCTCGACACCCTAGGGTGTAATTTTCAAAAAGTATTTCATCTGAGGTGGCTCATTTTGTGTGTCCCACTCATTTCGGAAAACAAGGCCATGAGTGAGATAAGATGCTTTCTGATTTATTTTCCTTCAAAATTATTACTATGCCTACTACATATGGATGATTCCTTGCTATTTCTGAATTTTGATGGATGCAGGGTTACTACATGCCAAAACAATCTCTACTCCCCTGAAGATTGTGCCCTGACCATAGGGTCAGGAAAGATAATGCCTTAGGGCAAAGGACTCCGACAAGCAAGAGGAATTTTAGACGAGAAGGAAGCACACCGACATCATGGAATGGGCTGGGCTAAGAGGTAACTGCCAGAGAGGTCGGTACAAGGCAATCATACTGTGTGGCAGTGACTAATGGATGTCCATTGGTGATACCTCATCGGGGAAGGAAATAAGGAGGAAGAAAAGGATAAAAGCCCATCAGGGTACCAGCAGGTGGGAGAGTGAGTAGATTAGTAGCTTCCTCATATTGCCCACTTACCACAATCCTAAAGACATGTTTTTTTCAGCACTAGAGATTGAACTCAAAACCTGCTAGGCAGGTGCCCTATCCATTGAGCTATGCCAAAAGCATCAGTTATTTTGGAAGCAGGGTCTTGCCTGATGCCCAGGCTGGTCACTATGCCCCAGTCATTGATTGATTTGAAGTCTCCCAAACTTTTTAAACCTGGGCTGTCCTTCAAGTTCAATCCTCAGTCTCTGCCTCCCCAGTAGTTGGGATGACAGGCTTGAGCCACTGCACCTGGCCTCCTAAGGACATTTTAAAGCATGTTTGCTCAGCACCATGTCAGACTTAACACAGCTTGTGTTATTAACAAATCCTTATGATGAGTGTCCTGTAACCATGACACCATGAAATTATTATTACAAAGACCCAGGGCAGGACTCCAGGAGACAGAGAGAAAAAGGCACCAATTAGGGAACCACTTGAGGAAGATACTAGATAGGACTTGAGATGTGAAGGACAGTTAAGAGAAAACTTGCGTGTTTAAACTTTTGTTTGAGTTATGTTTAAGGCTCTGTTTGTGTCTCTGTTCTTACTTAGGTTCATCTCAAAGGCTAATGCTCTTATATAATCCATCAGAAATACACAAAATTGAAGTGTCCTGAGGTTTGAGAAAATGTATGTTGCTTCCATTCCTAACTCATTTCTCTTAGAGTTTCCAAAGAAATACAGGAAACTTTGTAGACATGTATTAGAAAATCTGAAGAACAAAATAAAGTGAAAGAATCAGGTAGGAAGCTTGCAAAGAAATAATTTTTTTAGATAGCCTTGGGAAGTATTGCCATTTTCACGATGCTGATCCTTCCAATCCAGGAGCATGGGAGGTTTTTCTACTTTCTAAGTTCTGCTTTGATTTCCTTTTTCAGGTTTTTAAAGTTTTCATCATAGAGGTCCTTCACTTCTTTGGTCAAGTTAATTCCTAGGTATTTTATTTTTTTGTGGGGCTATTACGAATGGAGTTGCTTTCCTGATTTCAGCCACACTTTTCTCATTGTTGGCATACAGAAAAGCCATTGATTTTTGAGGGTTAATTTTATACCCTGCTACTTTGCCAAAGTTTTGAATCAGCTCGAGTAATTTGGGAGTGGAGTCCATGGGATTCTTTAAATACAAGATCATGTCATCTGCAAAAGATGATCCCTATTGGGATCCCTTTTATGTTGGCATCTTGTCTTATTGCTATATCTAGGCATTCTAATACTAAATTGAAGAGAAGTGGAGAGAGTGGACATCCTTGTCTCATTCCTGAGCTGATAAGAAATGTACTCATTACCTTGCTAGTGTAATTTTAACCCCTCTGTATGGTATTTTCACAATTAAGAAAAAACTTATTATTTAAAAAAAAAGAAATACACAATTCTCTAAACACTCATTTCTCAATCTGGTCACTACTAACATTTGGAGTAAGGTAATTCTTCACTTGGGGTAAGACTATCCCCATGGTTAAGAAGATCTGATTCCCAGCATTCTCTCTTGACCTCAGTGTGGGACAACACAAAAATGTTGTCACATATAGCCAAATGTCCACTCTGGAGAAAACTAGAGTAGTTGGGAATGACTACTCTAAATGCATACATCTTCCCCCTTAGTAGTGGTTTTAAAGAACAGGATTGTTAACACAGAATTTCTTCAGATTTAACAATTTTGCATCTTTTGTGAAACAGCAACACAAAAAAAGCCCTCACCAATGCTTGGTTTTATTGCTGAGAAGAAACACACAGAATCGGCACAGGGAAATTCAGAAAAGGAGATTTGAGGCAGGATTTAGATTTTTCCCACCAGAAGTAGTGGCTGCATTGTCTCTGGAGACCCTGAACAACTTACTTACACAGGTAGAATAAGCTCCATGGTATTCTTTTGTACCTGAGAAAGATAGCTGCTTAGGGAATTGCCTATTCTCTTATTTTCATATCTTCATCTGAGACCATTAATATCTCAAGTTGAGTGCTAACTCTTTTCCTATTTGCATTTAAATGGAAAATAAAAATTCTGACATAGGTGGCTTGCTGGGAGAGCTCTGACTTTTCTTTGTTAGCCTTTCTGCGGTTTTCATGCCATTGTGCACGAACTCTTTAAGGAAACTATTTTTGTAACAGGCTTATATCTCCTCCAGAGAGGTAGTTGCTCCATCTTTATAGTCCTGCCTTCTCTCCTCAGGTATAAGGGTCAAGGTGGATTTCCCAACAAATATACAGCTTCTAGAATGCCATCCACCCTTTGGAAAGCAGTCTAGGCTCCACAAATGAATTTACTCTATGTGCAGATGATCCAAAACAGAAATAAAATGTTTTATGTGGTTCAAGTCACATTGACTTGGATTCATAAAGTAAACAACGTTTTATGGCTTCAAGATTATTCTAGGGTGGCATATTACTAGGGGGAAGGAAAAATAGCAGTCCAAGTATCATGACGGCCTGGGGAACTGTATTATGTTGTACAACTTTTCCGTGCACTAAATAAAATGTCACTACCATTGAGGATTTAGCTACAGCAAACATATCCCCAAAACCCAGAGCCAAAGTGCCCCTAAAGGTTTGCGTCTTGCTAATTCCCTCTCTAGCTACCTATAGAAAGAAAGGCAAAAAGCTGAGCTATCAAGAGAGCCACTTAGATGCATTCTTTTCTAGAACACAGTTGGCTTCTGCTCACGGTGTTGTTTACATTTATAGCTATAAATCCATATAAATTTAATCTTTCAAAATGTTATTCTTTGGTCCAAGAAATACAATAAAAGAAATTTTTATCACTGATAGATATTATCTAAGAGCTTACCTCACTGGAGACTTTAATAATTTTATTTGGAAAGGACTTAGAGGAAAATGACTAGAAGGAACCAGAAGCAGGGATAGAATAATCTTGAGGCTGGTATTTCTCGCAAGCATGCTGGGTATGTAGCATGGGAGTTCCTGGAGATTGGCTTAGCTGGACATTGGGTAGAGATGAGGGGAGTGTTAATAATCTCCTTGCTAAATACTTCCATGATTTCCACTTCCCTGGGCAAAAAAGTACACTGCTGTCCCTTGGTATTCATAGAGAACTGGTTCCAGGATTCTCCAAAATCTATATAAGCTCAAGTTCTTTCTATAAAGGGACATTATAGTTACATGTAACCTACATACATGCTCCTGAATATTTTCAATCATTGCAAGATGACGTATGCCAAATGCAAGTGCTATAGAAATCGTTTGATAGAATATCATTCAGGGAAAGTAAAATCTGGACAAGTTGATTTGCATTTGGACAGATGCAATCTTTGCTATGCCTTTTATTCATGATTGTTCAAGAATTTGGGGTCTGACATTATAGCAAATGTATGTTGATAAGCACAAATGTTGAAAATGATGTAGGGCTTTGACTAGACAATAAGGAACTAATTGATTGACTTCCTATTCCATTGACTATGTTGGATATAAAATATCAGCTAAAAATTTCATTTAAGTAGAAATTCATTTTATATTTTGCATTTTATTGTATTAGCAGCACTATATCTACATACAAATTACACATTTAGGATTTGGTTTTAACTGGCCTGCATTCGACTTTGGTGGTAGAAAGTAAATGAGAACTTTTAGTGTTTAGTGATGCAAAATATTCATAAAGGGAAAGACATAGGAAAGGTAAGAAGCTGGTCACTGTATATCATATTCCTCAGGGGGAAAGCTCAGAGAGCAATCAGAACCCAAGAGTTTCTCTAGTTCAATATGCCCAACTCAAATAATCTCAAAATGAACTTTGTCATTAATTTCTTTCCAAGTACTAGCTACTATGAAGCATTCAATTGGCACTAGGCTGATCAAGATAAATAGATAAACAGATGCCAGTTCCACCATTATACAGAAAGCTAGGAGTAAGAGGTAAAAGACACAGGGAAAGGTCTACTCAGTCTACTCGGGAAAGAATAAGGGAAGGACACAGTCTATGAAAAAGTGCAGTCATTGGAAACTCATCATACAGAGGTCCAGGGGACATTAGATCAGAAAGGCTGGTAGCAGGCCAAAGAGCCAATGAAAACTACTGGAAAATTTGTAACGGTAGGACTGATATCTCAAAAAAAATTATTATATTCCTCATCTAGAGTTTGGACTGGAAAGAGATTAACTTCAACCAACCAAGATGGCAGGTGACATTGGAAGTTCCAAGTTGGGATGAACAGCGACAAAAGGATTTAGTAGTTAAAAAAAAAATCCCAAGAATAAAGTAATCAAGTGGTTCACAGTTGGCTTTCTAGCTGAAGGACTGTGTAGCTAATGGTACCTGTCAGACATAAGGAGAACCAGAAAGGGGAAGAAAACTGTTGACTTGGCACAGTTGAAGACTCCCATCCTGAGTCTCACATCTCCTTTAAGACAACAGGTATTTGTAGTTGAGTAAATCATCTCTATGTGGATTCTTGCCAGGGTGTTTTGATACACTGTTGTGTCAACTCTGAAACTCCTACATTAAATCAGACTCATGAAGAAGCACAACGAATTTAATGTCCCTGCCTCAAACATGAGTTTACTCACCAAATCATCACTCTATAAAACCTGATAGGGCTTTATGGGCAGGGGGCCAAGGGAGGGGATGAGTTTTTCTGAAAGGCTAAAACCATAAGGTGGCACTTCCCCAGCAGGCTTATCAACACAAAATAATGTTTTCTTTGGATGGCAGAATAAAATCAAGGTGGGAACCCCTCCCCCCCCACCATACACACAAGAAACAATGTACTGCAGTTGTAACTTACAGCTGTATGTGGTCCATACTTGCCTTTGTGGTTTTGACTTTATTGCCACTGCTGCAGGACCAACCTGAGTAATCTGGCAGCACTTTACAGTCCTCACCCTCCAAGCAGGGTTCCATGTGACACCACCATTTCTGAATCACAATGGAGGCTGGAAAACAAAGACCAAATCGTGACTCTGATTCTTCCTCCATGGAGAGACCCAAACAAAGGTCAACACAGCTGGAGTTACTTTGACCTAAATAAATTAAAAGAATACGCTCAGCCACATTCTACAAAGTATTTCCTCTTCTTCTACCTGTTTACTATACAATTGGTGGGAGCTAAAGCTGTGTGGAAGGCTTGTGGGGTTTGACTCTAATTGGGCTACTCTGTGTGTGTGTGTGTGTGTGTGTGTGTGTGTGTGTGTGTGTAATTACATGCAGGGCTGGGAAGTTGGCTCAGTAGTAGAGTGCTTGCCTTTCGATTCCTCAGCACCACATAAGCAGAAAAAAGCCGGAATTGGCAGTATGGCTCAAGTGGTAGGGCACTAGTCTTGAGCTGAAGAGTTCTGGGACAATGCCCAGAGCCAGAGTTCAGCCCCCACAACGGACAAAAAAAAAAATTACATGCAACTAACTTTCCTTAACTTCAATTTCTTCAATAAAGGAACTGATAAAAATAGATACATACTTCAGTGGTTGGGTATCTGTATACCTTCTTTGAGCAAAATGTGGACTCTGGTTATTATCATTATTATCAGAAGTAGTAGTAGTAGTAGTAGTAGTACTTTGGTTGGGGAACAAGACTAGGGTTTGAACTCAAGATCTTGCACTTGCTATGCAAGTGATCTATCACTTGAGCCACATACACCAGCCATTTTTCCTTTAGCTAATTTTTTTCACATAGAGTCTTGATGCTTTTTGTTGTGTCCAACCTCAAAATGAAATCCTCTTAATCTGTGCCTCCCAAATACCTGGGGTTACCAGGTAAACCAGAGTGCCTGGCTTCCAGTGCCTATTTTTTAAGATTAGGTTTTAGGGTTTTGCTGTTAAGTTTTTTGAGTATATTTTGAGTATAAACCCTTTAAAGAACTATGATTTGTAAATACTTTCTCCCATTCTTTCCATTTTCTGCTGTGCTGATGCTCTTTCATTTGGCACACTTTCGCTTTTTTTGCTTTTGTTGCATGTGCTGTAGATACCATACGCAAAAGAAAACATGGCCAACACAAAGACCCAGAACTTTTTCCCTATGATTTCTTTTAGGAATTTCACCATTTCAAGGATGACATCTAAGTCTTTGACCAGTTTTGCATTATTCTATGTATATGATGTAAGACACAGATCCAATTTCATTCTTTTGCATGTGGATAATCACTTTTCCTAGCAGCATTTATTGAAGAGATGAATTGTCTTACATTTTGTCATGGCTTGAATGTAAATACATTGGTTTATTTCTGGACTGTCACTTTTGATGCTGGACCCATTCTGTTTTGATTACTGTAGCTTTGTAATGTAGTTTGTTTTAGAGACTGATACCTCTAGCTTTGTTCTTCTTGCTCAAAATTCCTTTACCCACTAAGATTCTTTTGTGGTTCACATAGAATCTGTGAACGTAGATATCTTATCATTTTCATTTTACAAATGATCCATCTCCTTGGTTAGACTTATTCCAAAGTGTGTTATTCATTTTTATTGTATCTTAAATGGGGTCTTTTTAACTCTTTTTCCAATAATTGTTTGGTAGTACAGTAAATACATATTTTGTTTTACAACTCATCTTTTTATTTTGAATTTGTATCTGGAAACTTTACTGAATTCAATAGCAACAGCTCTCGAATGCTTCCAACACAGCAATGAGAAAAGAGCACTTACAATCTCATTTTATGAAACCAGCATTAGTCTCCTAACAATGTCAGACAGAAAGCTACAAGAAAAGAAAAATTACAGGCCAATATCTCCACTAGATATAAGTATAACCCTTGACAAAATACCAGCAAGTCAACTTTAATAGGATGTCAAAAGAATTATGTACCACAATCTTATAGGATTTATCTGTGGGATATAGAAGATGGTTCAACACATGCAATCAATATGATCTATTCCATTAACAGAATAAAATGATTTAAAAAAATCATGATCATTTCAACAGATGCATAGAAAGTATTCAATAAAACTGAAAAGCCTTTCATGTCTCTTAACAAATTAGGGATAGAAGGAATGTGCTTCAACATACTAAAAGCTGGTGTGTGACAAACCACAGCTGACTTCATACTGACAGTGACAAGCTCAAAGCTCTGTAAAAGAGCAAGAGAAAGATGGTCCACTCTACCCACTTCAAAGCAACATAGTCAAAGGAAGTCCTAACTAGAGCAATTAGGGAAGAGGAAGAAATAACGAAGCATCCAACATGGAAAGCAAGTAGTTAATTATTCTCTAAAGAGAACATGACATCATGTTTCCTTTCCAGAAAAACTCCCGACTGACTTGACTGAGACCACCATTGCCGTGAAATCTGAAAGTCAAGTTCTACAAATACTAAGATCATTTTTTTCACTGAACACAGGCACCTTGTGAATTGCCTTCCCTATCTTGTCTAATTTAGATTTTACAACAATCCTGAGATTTTATTCTTTCTTTCACACAGATGAAAAACCTGGAATCCAGAGAGGTCTGAAGGGATGCGGGCAAGGTCATGGAGTTCAGAGGCAGTCAAACAAGCATTCAAAGGGAGGCAGTCAGATATGATATGTTAAGCTTTAAACACATACTTCCTCCTTTTAACCGCAGCTACTAGCTGATGGTACATATCAACATCACAAGAACTGAGTTGGGTACATGACTTGCCTAGACCTAGAAAGGTTTGTTGCCTAATGGGTTACTTGTTTTGTTAAAGACTTACTGAAGTGGAGTTGATGACCACGAAGCCCTATAAAAGTTATATATATGTATATATATATATATATATATGTACATATATAGAGAAATATATATATATGTACATATATAGAGACATATATATGTATAGAGAGAGAGACATATATATATAGTCAGTTGTAGGGCTTGAACTACTAGGCCTGGGCATTGTCCCTCAGCTCTTCAGCTCAAGGCCAGTGCTCTACCACTTGAACACAGAGCCACTTCTGGTTTTATGGTGGTTAACTGGAGATAAGGATCTCATGGACTTTCCACATTCCTCAGATCTCAGCCTCCTGAGTAGCTAGGATTACAGGTGTGAGACACCAGCACCAGGCTTAAATGTTATCTTCTTTTTAGCTGCAAATACTATAACAATTGCATCTTGCAACTAACTGCACAGAGCTGTCTAAATGTCCATCCGATGTAGCAAAAGTACCAATAGTGCTTCCTGTGAAACTGATATACTAAGAATGAAGTAGTAGAATCTGAAATCTCCTCCTCTCTGCCCACTAGCCTTGCTATAACACTACAGCATGCAACAATGTATTTATTGTATAATCAAAATTATAAGTTTATGGGCATGGTATGGCAACTTGATACATGTGTGCAGAATGTAATGATCAAATCCAAGTGGTGAACATTTCTATCTCATTGCACATTGTGAAAGTTCTTGTTTTACTCATTATTTGTGGGTACATGTGAAACTCTGGTACACAGATACTCAGCACTGGGAGCATTCCCATCTCTCCCATGCATGAAGACTTCAGAACCCCCTCTTCTAATAGAATTAATCATTCAGTTTGGTAAGTGCTGAGTGGAGCCTTTTTACCCTCCCCATGCTAATCATCATCATTTTTTTAATGCATTGGTTTGGTCCCAAGTGGCTATTTCCCAACCCTCAATTTGAAGTACTGTTCATGAAGCACAGTTATATTTACACACAGTTGCAACTGACGTTAATCCTCTGGGAAGATATAGGACTCAGTGGGACCTTGAAAAGAAGCCTTGAAAGGTGGCTTGTGGTCTGACCAAGAGAAAACACATGGAACAGTGGGTCAGTGAGTGGCCCCTGGGAAAGCCAGCAGATCCAGGTGGCTGGAGACATCATTCAACGGAGGGGAAATGGGAAGAAACCCACAAGAGCCATGGAATCTGCTGGGTCGCATGGTACAGCAGGACAGGGGAAATGATGGTCCAGAAAAAGTAACTTGGAAGTAGATGAACTCACAGCAGAGCTCAGCACAGAAAGAATGCTAAAGAGAAGGCCCATTGAGGGTAAGTGAAATCAGATAGCAGCTGAGGTGGGGCCAGCCGTGGTGGAGCAGGGAGGACGGAGCGAGGGGGGGGGGCAGGTACAGTGCAAGGCATATCCTTTCCATTGGTTATCACACAGATTAATGGAATTACTATGATAGTTCCCATATGTGTTGCCTGGTGACTGGAGAATGTCCATCAACACTCTCTATCTTGGCCCTACAGCCTTCTTAATCCCTTTCATCTACTGCAGGGTATCTGAGCTGTTTCCACAACTTGGCTATTGTGAGCAGCAATGCAATGCTTAAGTGTGCAGGTATAGACATTTGAACAATATTGATTCTTCCAACCCACGAACATTCTTTGAAAGTTCTATACGACAGAAGGAAACATAAGATCAAGTTCTTATGAACTTGTTTATGTTTCCCTTCAGTTTATCAGTTTTCCTTCATTTAACTGAAAAAAAAATGGGAGGGTTATTTTTCTTCTAAAGGCAGCTATGCGCAACCATCCCCCTTAAATGGCAAGGTGCTCTGAAATTTAAAATAGTTCTGTTTGCACGAAGGCGAACAGTCCCTTTTATATCCTTGGGGAAGGTGCCCCAATAACAGATACAATGTTCATTATGAGAAAGAAGTCATAGCAAATGTTCTTTCAGCAAGGAGAGAGGGAACAAGACCCACCACAATGCCAGCGCCAGATGCATTTATGAGTTAAATTTGCTGCCAGTCCTTAGACAACCCTTAATAACCACTTGAGGGTTGAACCTGAAGGAAATGAGCCGATTAAACACTGGGAAGTCAAAGCCCCAAGTGCAGACTGACCCAACAAGCTGGAACAAAGGAGGAGGGAAAAAAATAGGAGTCTATTAAAACAACTGTTGACACATCTGCCCACGTGCCTGAGCCCTATCTCTGTAGGGAAAGTTGCAGGCGGGGTATCTTGCCTTCCTGTGACAAAATAGCATCATACACCTTAAATGAGAAAGTGCTTTGTC